AAACAGTACAGATATACAATATACTACGTAAACAGTGCAGATATACAATATACTACGAAACAGTGCAGATATACAAAGACATAAACAGTGCAGAAATACAATATACTACGTAAACAGTGCAGATATACAATATACTAAGAGAAAAAGTAGATGTACAATATACCACATACAATATACTGAAACAGAGATGTACAATACACGAAACAGTGCAGATATACAATATACTATGTAAACAGTGCAGATATACAATATACTACATAAACAGCAGATATACAATATACTACGAAACAGTGCAGATATACACTATACTACGTAAACAGTGCAGATATACAATATACTACAAACAGTGCAGATATACAATATACTATGAACAGTGCAGATATACAATGACGAAACAGTGCAGATATAGCAATATACTACGTAAACAGTGCAGATATACAATAGACATAAACAGTGCAGATATACAATATACTACGTAAACATTGCAGATATACAATATACTACGTAAACAGTGCAGATATACAATATACTATATAAACAGTGCAGATATACAATAGACGAAACAGTGCAGATATATAATATACCACGAAACTGCAGATATACAATGTACTACGAAACAGTGCAGATATACAATATACTACGAACAGCAGATATACAATATACTAGAAGCAGTGCAGATATACAATATACTACGAAACAGTGCAGATATACAATATACTATATAAACAGTGCAGATATACAATATACTACGTAAACAGTGCAGAAATACAATATACTACGAAACAGTGCAGATATACAATATACTACGAAGAGTGCAGATATACAATATACTATATAAACAGTGCAGGTATACAATGATTTAAACAGTGAGAGATATAATATACTACGTAAACTGCAGATATACAATACACGAACAGTGCAGATATACGAAACAGTGCAGATATACAATATACTGAAGCAGTGCAGATATACAATATACTACGAAACAGTGCAGATATACAATATACTACGAAACAGTGCAGATATACAATAGACATAAACAGTGCAGATATACAATATACTATGTAAACAGTGCAGATATACAATATACTACTTAAACAGTGCAGATATACAAATACTACGAAGCAGCAGATATACAATATACGAAACAGTGCAGATATACAATAGACGAAAAAGATATACAATATACTATGTAAGCAGATATACAATAGACGTAAACATGCAGATATACAATATACTACATAAACAGTGCAGATATACAATATACTACGAAAGCAAGATATACAATATACTACGTAAAACAGTGCAGATATACAAGACGAAACAGTGCAGATATACAATATACTACGAAACAGTGCAGATATACAATATACGTAAAGCAGTGCAGATATACAATATACTACGAAACAGTGCAGATATACAATATACTACGTAAACAGTGCAGATATACAAATAGACGAAACAGTGCAGATATAATAATATACGTATATAGATATACAATATACGAAGAAAGTGCAGATATACAATATACTACGTAAACAGCAGATATACAATAGGACGTAAACAGTAGATATACAATATACTACGAAACAGTGCAGATATAATAGACGAAACAGTGCAGATATACAATATACTACATAAACTGTGCAGATATACAATAGACGTAAACAGAGAGTACAATATACTACGAAAATGTGCAGATATACAATATACTACGTAAACAGTGCAGATATACAATATACTACGTAAACAGTGCAGATATACAAACGAAACAGTGCAGAAATACAATATACTACATAAATAGTGCAGATATACAATATATTTGCAGATATACAATAGACGTAAACAGTGCAGATATACAATATACTACGAAACAGTGCAGATATAAACTATATAACAGTAGATATACAATATACGAATAAACAGAGATATACAATATACTACGAATATGATATACAATAGACGAAACGTGCAGATATACAATATATACATAAACAGTGTGCAGATATACAATAGACGAAACAGCAGATATACAATAGACATAAACAGTGCAGAAATACAATATACTACGTAAACAGTGCAGATATACAATATACTACGTAAACAGTGCAGATGTACAATATACTACATACAATATACTACTTAAACAGTGCAGATGTACAATATACTACATACAATATACTACGTAAACAGTGCAGATGTACAATATACTACGTAAACAGTGCAGATATACAATATACTATGTAAACAGTGCAGATATACAATATACTACGTAAACAGTGCAGATATACACTATACTACGTAAACAGTGCAGATATACACTATACTACGTAAACAGTGCAGATATACAATATACTACATAAACAGTGCAGATATACAATATACTACGTAAACAGTGCAGATATACAATATACGTAAACAGTGCAGATATACAATATACTATGTAAACAGTGCAGATATACAATATACTACGTAAACAGTGCAGATATACACTATACTACGTAAACAGTGCAGATATACAATATATTACATAAACAGTGCAGATATACAATATACTACGTAAACAGTGCAGATATACACTATACTACGTAAACAGTGCAGATATACAATATACTACGTAAGCAGTGCAGATATACAATATACTACGTAAGCAGTGCAGATATACAATAGACGTAAACAGTGCAGATATACAATATACTACGTAAACAGTGCAGATATACAATATACTACGTAAACAGTGCAGATATACAATATACTACGTAAACAGTGCAGATATACAATATACTACGTAAGCAGTGCAGATATATAATATACTACATAAACAGTGCAGATATACAATAGACATAAACAGTGCAGATATACAATATACTACGTAAACAATGCAGATATACAATAGACGTAAACAGTGCAGATATACAAGTACAATATACTACGTAAACAGTGCAGATATACAAGTACAATATACTACGTAAACAGTGTAGATATACAATATACTACGCTCTCTGCGTAAAGGGGTACACGCACCGCGGAATGTGAGCATTCCGGTTTCGGCAGGGAACCGCGTAAACGTGGAAACGCGGAATGTGGGACCGCATAAAGCGAGGGTTGATTGTACATAGAAATTCTAAAATGTGTGTCTTTTTCTTCTCAGCACCACGAGAACTCTCACTTTTACGCTTGCCAGCCATTTTAAAGGGAATTATAAACAAAAATTTTGTCAGTACACAGCGCGATCACTAACGTCGGGACTCGAAAATACGTAATGTGAAAAATATTTTATACGACCATGGCCGTCGTATGTCCGGGTTGTCGTAAGTCGAATATGTCGTAAGTCGAGGAGAGACTGTACTTGCATATTTAATTAAATATTTTAGTCAAACATTTTATCCCATTCATGCCCATTTGTTTTATAAATTTTGCAGGAAGGTGATCAACCTCACCAATGTTATCAAATTTCATTCTGCTCACCAAAAACATTAAAGCATCACCTATTTGTATTATCAACTGAAGATTAAACACCCCAATTTATTTCACCTGATGATAAAACACACTTATGCTACCTGGAGAATTAGGTTATGGCAGGGTGTTTAATCATCAGGTGAAGTAAGCTGGGGTGCGCCTCTCTCACATTCTACGCTCTTCAACAAACCTTTCAATAAAGATGCTGTCAAAAATAAGACGAAATGAAACGGCGAAACTAGACTGAATGGTTAATGTTGGGCTGAGGCCCCCTACTCTAATTATTATTATTTTTTTTTTTAATGGATAATTAGAGATGTGTTCGTTTTAATGTGCAGTATGGAAATCTAGCAGGGGTATCTCTTATGACCTTCACTACATAAACTCATTACAGTATATCTAACCTAACTTAACCATTCTCGTACTGTACACTATATGTTCGGTAATGTTAGTTTAGATCGGGTTGTATGATTTCATAAATGCTTTTCACACTTGTGTTTTCGTTTCTCACCCTCTGGATTTACTTTCTGTATATTAGAACAACTATCAAGAGAAGATTCCATCAAGAAGTATACTGTAATGAGGCAGATTTACATTTAACTTTTACAACCATTGAATTTTGAATCTTTGAATCCTTGCTTCAAAACAATATCAAGAAATGTTGGTGTTTGTTATTAAGGTGTTTAATGATCAAGTAAAATAAACTAGGGGCTAATATACACATTCTCCCCCATGTGTAAGAACAGTGGTGATGTACTGTACAGTATTGGGCTCTGAGATAAAAGCTGCCTTTGTTATTGGTGACTTGCAGGATTACTAGCTTCTAAAGTTTATTCTGTATTAGTTTTGTACAAGTGGTCGAAGAAGGGCTTGTTATCTCCCTCCTTGCCTGTGACCTTGACTATAAAAAAAGTGCATTTTTTCTCAGCTGAGAAAAGATGCCCCGCCCCCTCCTCATGAGTTACATCTGATTGGCTGTTGCAAATCTGTTTGATTTCGTCCTGTAATAATGATGCATTTCTAAATGAGCTTATTCATAATCGTTGGGATGACCGTTTCTAACGAGAAAGATATTTAGCTAAATTATATAAAGATACATACATTCATTATTTCAAACATCAGTAAGTGCGTAGAAAGTTTATCAGAAATCTTATACATGAATTAAATGTTAAACTCTGGTAACAAATTTACGCTTTCAGAGGACGCATTTAATATACTATACTTATTTTCACCCACAATAAGGCATACTAAGACAAATTACGTATGGGTAAAACTACATTTTGCAAAACTAACATTTTAATAGATCAGAATCACACTGAAAGTTTGCACAGTTCCTGAAAATTGGTGGACGAGTGTGACAGACTTGGCCGCTCGAGCGAACAGCCTTCAGTCGAGGCGGGAAATATAACTGTGAACAACTTCATATTTTAGTGATTCAGTATGTTTATAGGCAGTGCAGGTATACAGTGGTGTATATGTGTACAGTATATCTTTTACCAGCATTAAGTTGGTTGTCTCACTGTGTGTTTCACTGTTTGCAGCGGCGGCCCTGGTGGAGACGGGAGAGAGTATGAAACAGATCGCTGACATCAAGTACAACCTGGATGACAACATGAAGATAAATGTGTTGGAGCCACTTCATCAGTTAGCTACCAAAGATATCAAGGAAGTGCAGGTGTGTCCCTAGTACTGTACTCTCTCTCTCTCTTTCTCTGATAAATAATAATAATAAACGGTTTATTAATAGAGTTGCAGCCGGTGGCTGAAAATATACAAACTTATATGTGATTTCGACATAACAATATACGTTCAATACATTTACAGGGCTGTACAGTACATAAATCAGGAGCTTTTTATTATTTTAACAATAGATGGGATGGTGCTATTCTTATATCTATCAGTGCGGGCTCTTATGGGCTGAATTTTGTTGTAGTGGCGGACTGTGCGAGGTAGCCGGGGGACTACCGGTGGCAGTAACTGTGTGTGTGTGTTGCATTACACTAGTATTGTTTCAGTAATTTATATCTGCAATGTACTACTTGTATAATACATGGTGTAAATACAGTTTGTATTGAGAATTAAACGGTGAACCCTCGAAGATCCGGACTAAAAGGGGGACCACGTGTCCGAAAAAAACAATTGTTCATATCTTCTGGCAAGTGTACTAAATGTATAAAAACGATAAATAATGATATGAAAAACACAAAAAATATGGTACCGTATTTAACAGCATATAAGATGCATCCCCCATTTTACCAGGGTGTATTTAGGAAAAAACTTTTGTGTGTATTTTCCTCCTGTAGGCAGAGTTTTCTTAAAGTAATATACAGTACCAGGAAATGTGAGGAATAAGTAAAATTAATACCAATAAATAAGTTACAACAAAAAATACTGTATTGCCAAATCAGTAATTAAAAGCCAAATGAAAGTTTAACACAGTTGCCATTTGCATACACACCCTGCTTCATCATAGCAATGGAGACCAGTTGGGATGCCGATTCCCTAGCAACGCTCCCCACTCTGCACTGTCCTCCCGCTCCCTCACTGAGCCAGCAAACTTGTGTGCATGGAAATGTATATTTCCTTTACGTGTTTGCCCCTAGGACAATTATTTCTTTTACTTTTTTCACTATGTATGTAGGATGGAGTGTACCTGTAACTGAGTAAAAGTAAATGAAGAAAGTTACGTATATCAACCCAAAAATACGAGTTGAAAACAAACATAACACCTCACAGCTTGGCCCAGTAGCCTGGTGGTTACAGTGACAAGTCTAACCTTGCTACAATGCCATTATTAATCACTATTAAGCACTATTATATCAGTAAACATTAATAATAACAGTAAATCCAGTGAACTATGGCAGGGAGGAGCGACGAGTTACAACAGCAGCTGACGTGCTAATTAGCAAATACATTCACTTACTCCCCTTACTGCTCCCGTTGCCAGGCATACAGCATGTTGCAAGGCGTACATTTGGGAAAAATACATATCTTGTAGTCTAATTGGAAGCCGGTGATGGGCACAGTGATAAACAAATTTACCTGCGATAACATTATAAGAAACATCTTATCATATTACTATAGTGAATGAAATAATATTCCCACAAACAACAATTGACAACTCTTTATGTTTCTGCCTCGGGCACCTGTTTCCTGCGCACTGACAGCTTATTAGTTACACGGGCCCAAGATGATCTTTGCTCTATTTTGGGAATGCTTCTTAGGGAGGTTTCTTTGACCCCGGAACCCCCAAATTTTGTCCGAATCTTCAGAAATCTGTATTCACTGGGTCCGAATCTTTGAGGGTTCACTGTATATTGTGATCACCATATGATCGTGATTCTTACTCTGATCATTCACATCACCGTGACGGTTTGATTAAGATAATTATTTTGATCAGCCTTAATTTCCAACCATTCGCTATTAAATCATTCTGTCAGATAAAAACGTGAAAGTGTGAGAGGTTTGAATAATAGACCAGGTTCTTTGGAGACTTTACTCTTGCAGCGTCAGACAGTGACTGGCAACCCGGCGCTACCACAGACAAATTCCCGCCTCCACACATGGGAAAACATATCGTACGATGATACTCCATCTCACAATCTCACATCTTTCCCCCCAAGTTAAAAGGAAATGACAATGCACATTTGAACTCACAAAAGGAAAACAATGCAGTCATAAAAAAAATAATGCAAGAAAAAACAATTAAACAAAGGCACACCAAAAAAAAACCTCAAACTAATTTTACACCACATACACTATACCACATAGTCAGCCAACCAACCCGGGGGCCTGCGGCCTCTCCCGGGCCTGGCCACGCCCGACTGGGAAGGGGCCGGGGGTGCGAGCGAGGGCGCGGGTACGGAGGGCACCACGGAAGGGAGGCCAGGAGGCATAGCGTGATGCACCACAGGAGTGGCAGGCACAGGGGTGGTGCCGCATCGCAGGTGGCGTCTGTTGCGGATGGACACCCTGCCACTGCCAGTCAACCTGACGGCATACTGCCTGTGAGGGCGGGCTTCCACCACTATGCCCGTCCTGTCAAAGAGCTTGGTAGCGGCGTCCTGCACACGCACCTGCGCCCCCACAGCTAGGGGAGCCAGCTAGCGGGATACCTCCCCCCGTGACAGAAGGATCCCATCCTGGGCTTTGGCCAAGCGCTCCTCCCTCATATGAAGCGCCGCCAGTGCTGGTCCACCTTATAGTGCTGTCTGGCCACGGGAACGCTGTCACGAAGCTGGCGGCCGGTGGCAAGTTGGGTGGGCGACTTGTTCACCCCCTGCAGAGGCGTGTTCAGGTACTGGAGGAGGGCCTGGGATGTCCTATCGCAGTCCAGGCTACTCTCGGGCCCAGTGTTATCCCTGAGGAGCCTCTTGGCGGCCTTGACCCCAGCCTCTGCCCTGCCATTGGACTGGGGGAAGTGGGCTGACAAGAGCCGCACCTCGACCCCCCATGACTTGAGGAAATCCATCATCTCAACTCTAGAATCTTGTACACTGGGTCGTCCGCAGCCGCTTTGCACATGGTGTCTTCGTCCATAGTGATGCATCCATCCTGATCCAGTGCTTCGATTGTGACCGCACACACTGCAGCGCACAGGTCCTCCTCTTGGTCCATGTCCTCTGCGCTGGGCGTCGCCCTGAGGGAGGGGAAGCGGGATAGGGCACAGTTCCGCTTCCCTGGCAAGTACTTGACCGTGAACCGGAACTGCAGGGTTTTCTCCTTGAGCCTGAACAGGCGCGGATTCGCCACCTCCGTGAGGGCTCTGTTTCCTAGCAAGCCAACACTGTACATGTTCTTGAGGCATTTGTTGAGAATAAACTATTTTCTACATAAGCCTATGGTGAGGGTGTTGATGCAGTGTTGCCAGATTTTCAGATGTCGATTATCATGCTGGATCCTCAAAATTATCGTTTCTTTGTCAAAATTATCGTACACTTCCAGATATTATTAGTATATTAACTTTATTTGTTGGAAAATTACCTTTTTATTGATGTAGTTACTGTACCTGTACAACATCTTGAAAATTTTTTGGGAAGTAATACTCCCCACAAAACTCAAAATAGTGAAATCATAACTGATTTTGTTTTCAACTAGATAAAATCCTTATAACAATAATAAGGAACAAGACATGTACAGCCATATTAAACTGAATATTTTTTCAGACACTTTCTGTTAGTTATACAGATTATTTGTAGAAATAAAAGAACTGGGAAAATTAGCATAAACATCAGTAATTGAGATGATAATACCATATTGTAAAAAAGAAATTCCTCAAGTATATGAACATTATTATTCAAGATCCTCAGCTGTCAAGTTTTGATATATCTTTGTATGATTAGCCATATGAGCCAGCATATCATTTGATGGAATAAATTGTTCACATGACCCTGAACTTTTGAGGCACTGTATGAGAGAAGAGCTCCATTTACCATTTCAGTTTTTAACTTATTTCTTTGTTTAGTTTTAAGATATTCACTTTGCTGAACACTCGCACATTCATCATTGTAATATGGCAGACTAAGAGCAATCAGTGCAAAATTTACCAGGTCTGCTAAAGCTGGTTATTTTTGTTACATTACAATCCAGAACCCATCAGGTGACTCAGTTTCAATAACAGTTAAATTATCCTGATACATTGGCAACATTCTTTACTGGTCATCTAACTTCTGCATTAATGAGCTATCATTAATGTTGGCAGGCAAAATAAGACACTCATTGAAAGTCTTTGTACTTTTGTAGGCAGACTAAGACAGCCATTGATGACATGGGCAATTTTGATACTCAATTACTGTGCTCTCAGATTTGAACCTAAAATCATGCAATAATAGGAAAAGATATTGTTTATCATGTCAAGGGTAAAATTATCTTACATGTACGATAATTATCGTACGTTTGGCAACACTGACCCGTTGATGGATTATAGGACTGAGCAAGAATCGTTAAAATTGGAATCACCTGTTCCGATTCTCAGTGCCAATAGAGGAATCGATCCCAGAATCGATTCCTCAAAGAAAGCAAATACTGTACTGTCATATAGTTATAGGGGGCAACTAAAAGGCCTCCCCCATGCCTCACAGTCACGGGACTGCTAATCTCACTCCTGTCTTGGGAGGACAGCATGTAAATGCATTAAATATTTTCATTTTATTTTATTTGGGGAATACAGTAGACTTAAGAAACTAATGAAAGATGTTTATTCCTTACTTCTTTGGTAGGTATAATATTTTTTTTTAATTACCAAAATCTAATTTTCTTTAAAAAATAATATCAATAATTTAGAAATAAACATGTACCGAGGTACTTCTTATCTGTTTACATTACAGAAATATAAATTCCCTCGTATAAAAATAATGCCAATCATTTTGGAAATAAATACATGCTTCTGATCATTATGATTATAAACATTACTCCGTCACAGTTCACAACTTCACACATACAATACACTAATGCCAATTGTTGATCAATCATAATAATTAATTGAAGCCTATATTGGGAATGTAATACATTTTTTATTCAAACACATTCGTACAGCAGTGTAATCACAAAGAAACTAAAAAACTGTACGTAACAAAGATATTTGTTATCAGTCGAACCCCTTAATTATTTAGAATTGATAATTAACAAAACAGTGTCTCTTTCCATAAGAAATGACTGTAAAACACAAGGAGTGTCTACTCTACTGTACTTCTAATTCATGTTCTTGTTAAGGAAGAGGATCATATTCGCAAGTCTCTCACTGACTATAAACAATGGGTTCAAGCTGGAAGTATTATTTTATAAGCATGGACATGTGACTATGCTGCCTTCCCTTCCTTGATGGCTTCCTCATCAGCAAAAAATGTGCAGGTCGAAGCTTGGAGTCCCTGTTTATGGCTCTTTAAGGTTTTGAGATGCAGATGAGCCCTCCAGTAGTGTTCATCATGTTGAGCCTCAAACCTTGCTGGCTTTGAAAGCAACCATTCAGCCAGTGCATCTCTGAAGTACATTACAATGAGGCATAAGAGTACAACTTGTTGCTAGACAAGTCAGATTTGACAGGGAGTGTTGACTTGCATTCTTAGTTGATGGACTCAACTGCATGGGTGGCACCAGAGTTTCCTCGACATGGAAGCTGACTTCCCTGAAGGCGGGAAAGGGGTACTATACCAGACAGGGACATCAGTTGGGAGGCTAGGGGGTGCTGTAACCCCCCCCCCCCCTTATCCTGAGAAAATGTTGAAATTTGAAAAACTTCAGAGACAATTTTGGTTAGTCCACTAATAAAATTGGTACCATGAAAACGGTCATTGAAGCGAAAATTGTTTATGTGGTGAGTATAGTTTACATGCTAAATGGGTCAATTGGTACCAGCCCTCAGACACTTTCACCCCTATAACCCCCACAAAAAATTACAACCACTTATTGACACACATTAATACTGCTTGTAGAGTTAATAATTAATAATAACTAATCTTTAGACACTCATTGAACTGCTTAATGAGACTGTTTGCTGTCATACAGGGCAGGAGAGTGGTGTTGGTGCCCCCTTGCCCTCACACTCTCACACTGCACTGCTTCCCCACCACCACCACCTAATCCTTCAGTCCCAGAGCCAGTGAAGTCTAGCGGTAAATCATCTAACTGATCACACGCAGGTAAATCTTGAACATTATCATCAACAGTGCTGTCATCTCCCTCACGTAACACAGTCACAGATAAGTGAGTAGGTTACACCACAACTCCTGTTCACACGCTCTGATCAAAACAAACCACCCCCTCACTGATGTCATCAAGGTGGCCGTCCAGAGTGACTATCAACTTGTGCTACTGATCGTTATTGTGTTGAAATGTATCGTTAATGTGTTGGTGTCAAATATCATTACTGATGTTATTGTGATGAATCTTTAATGTGAAACTCATTAAAGTGAAGTATTTACTGTATATACAATGGATATTTCAATAACAGGGTTATTGATGCCCCTGTATTGTTGCCAGATGAATGGTTACATAGTGGACACAGATAAATCTTTCTTAGACTGAACACTCATGTTACTGAAAAATTTTCTACTATGTACAGCAAGACCTTCAAATTCGTGGGGGCTAGGTTCACAAAATGGCCGTGAATCGCCAAATCTGCGAATAACATTTGCTGACCGGGGGGAGGGGGGGGGGTACATTTTTACTTGTGTGCAAAGAAATGTATATTCCCTTTGTGTGTTTGCCCTTAGGACAATTATTTATTTTACCTGTATTGTATACAGTATGTGTGTGTTTAGACACACACACATACACACACACAATATAAGAACAGCCCAGCCCCAACCATTATAAAAATTATCAACAACTCTTAATCAACCAGTGTATATATTCACTTCCAGCCAATCTTACCTTTTTGCCCTGTCACTATGTTGAAATGCCCTGTACTACAACCTTCTCCCCACTTAGTTATTATTTACAATAAGTCCTCGCTTAACATTGCCCTCTATAATGTTGTTTCATTATAACGTTGCTACTCTTTAGATACCCATGATTCCGACAACATTGTTTTACGACCCAACCGATTCGTTATAACGTTGTCACCCAACACGGACTACTTTGTATGGCGCGCCACCCTCGCTCATCTTGGCCCGCTACGCTCTCTCACGGAGCGTCACAGCGTCCCCAAGCGTTTTCTACCCAGTCTTTGTTAAGCTTCCACACCATACGTGCGTGCTTAAGTGTTCTTGCTATAAATACTGTAGTGTAACCATTTGAAATGGCTACCAAGCACCCATCAAGTGTTAGTGATGCTAGTGTTGTGAAGAAGCAACGCAAGACCATTAGCCTTGCTACGAAAATGGAGGTTTTAAACTGTTTTGAGAGAGATGAACGTGCGGTGGACATTGGTGTTGCGCTAGGTCTAACCCCCACAACAGCGCGTACTGTCAGGACCAGCACAGACAAGATTAAGGCTAGTGCTGGAAGTGGTACTTCTATGAATGCAACAAAGACAGGTCGTGCTCGAAGTTCTGTGATGGAGAAGATGCTGGCTATGTGGAGGCTGGGGAACGTAACTAGCGTGTTTTATCTATTTCTTATGGGGAAAATAATTTCCGTTAACGTTGTGGTTTACAGGAACATAACCACGACTTTAAGCGAGGACTTCCTATATCATTTGAATCACTTATGTTACTTGTCAATCAAGTGACCCATTCCCCAATTATGTAACTATGTTTTCAGCCTTCTGGCTGCCATGCTCTTTCAATAAACTGTTATAATAATAATTATTATTATTATTATTATTATTATTATTATTATTATTATTATTATTATTATTATTAAAATACATACAAACAAATAATAATGGGGAAATCCTCTCACAAATAATAAGAAACACGACAACAAAGTGTAATGTAGAAAAAATGCGAGTCTACCCTCTAGTCTACCCTCAAGTCTACTCCGTGCTTTGTTTTTAAAGTTGAGTTGGTCGAGTTGCCTTACGATGCCAGCGCCAGCTGGGTTAATACGTAGATAAAACTTACAGAATTTCTTTCGTAGCCATCTAGCCAACACAACATGAAGGATGTTGGTAATTGTGGTGTAATACAATACTGTATCTAAAGAATAGCGACGTTATAAAGAAACAACGTTATCGGGGTTAACGTTAAACGAGAACTTATTGTACTGTATGATGATCTTCATTCTATGAACTCTTCAGTATTGTCCCTATACCTTACTTATTATTTTATTATGTTTTTGCACGTGATATAATTTTATGTGTATCTTTCACAGCACCACCGCAAGAAGCTGCAAGGAAGGAGGTTAGACTTCGATTGCAAGAAGAGAAAAAAGGATAAGGGTAAATATCTGTGTGTGTTGTTTCTGGGATGTTGTTATTGTGTGTTGTGTGAACTCCTTGTCTAAACAGATAAGCACTAAATTTTATTGCAACTTAACTGCTGAATAATAGATTGATTGTATAGATCAGAGTACAGTATATAAATACTGTAGCCTGGATGTGCCTTGTTAAGCTTCTACAAAGAGTTCAGTAGTACAGTGGAACCTCTAAAATTTGGATCAATTAGGACCGGGCCCTTTCTGAAATGTGGATTTTTCTGAATTGTAATACTGTATAAACATAGAGAAATTATGTTTACAGAGTGTATGAGAACAATATAACCTGAAAATATACCAACTTCAAAAAAATGAAGATAGTATTGAATGAAGTACTGTACAGGTATCCCTCGAGATATGAATGGGTTAGCTTCCAAAAACCATTCGTTAGGTGAATTTACTTATCACGAATAGATAAACACAAAATCGGTTCACAAACAAGAACAAAACCTACCTAACTAATGATAAATGGTGCACAACTACTCTCATTTACTATCTAATGCAAGAAAAATATAAGTACGTACTGTTTAACTTTGGTACATTACCTTATGGCAGGGCATAACACATGTAATCCACTCTGGATGTGTTGGAGTTTCTGCCCATCCTCGGTCACTGCCAGATTAGGCAGTTGAATGTATCACATCACCGAGAGGATGATTTGCGTGTAAAAGAACTTAGTCTTTGTACATAAAATAATATATACGAGTACTGTACCAGTAAATGTGAGGAATGAATAAAATTAGTAATAATAAATAAAAGAAAAGAAAAACATACTGTATTACATTGCCATTTGGCAATCTTGTCAGTAGAGCTGTGAGGGTGAGGGAACACTGCCTGCTCCCTGCCTCTCTCACTTGTGATGTGAGGGTGAGGGAACACCGCTCGCTCCCTTCCTCCCTCACTTGTGCTGTGAGGGTGAGGGAACACCGCTCGCTCCCTTCCTCCCTCACTTGTGCTGTGAGGGTGAGGGAACACCGCTCGCTCCCTTCCTCCCTCACTTGTGCTGTGAGGGTGAGGGAACAAAGCTCGCTCCCTTCCTCCTTCACTTGTGCTGTGAGGGTGAGGGAACAAAGCTCGCTCCCTTCCTCCTTCACTTGTGCTGTGAGGGTGAGGGAACAAAGCTCGCTCCCTTCCTCCCTCACTTGTGCTGTGAGGGTGAGGGAACAAAGCTCGCTCCCTTCCTCCTTCACTTGTGCTGTGAGGGTGAGGGAACAAAGCTCGCTCCCTTCCTCCCTCACTTTTGCTGTGAGGGTGAGGGAACAAAGCTCGCTCCCTTCCTCCCTCACTTGTGCTGTGAGGGTGAGGGAACAAAGCTCGCTCCCTTCCTCCCTCACTTGTGCTGTGAGGGTGAGAACAGCCCCTCCCCCCACTGTGGGTGAGCACCGCCCCTCCCTTCCTCCCCACTTGGCTGTGAGGGTGAGGGAACAAAGCTCTCCCTCTCTCCTCACTTGTGCTGAGGGTGAGGAACAAGCTCGCCTCCCTTCCTCCTCACTTGTGCTGTGAGGGTGAGGAACACCGCCGCCTCCCTTCCTCCCTCACTTGTGCGTGAGGGTGAGGAACAAAGCTCGCTCCCCTTCCTCCTCTCACTTGTGCTGTGAGGGTGAGGGAACAAAGCCGGCCCCTCCTCCCTCACTTGTGCTGTGAGGGTGAGGAACCCATCGCCCCCTCCTCCCTCACTTGTGCTGTGAGGGTGAGGAACAAAGCTCGCCTCCCTTCCTCCCCTCACTTGTGCGAGGGGTGAGGGAACAAGCTCGCCCCTTCCTCCCTCACTTGTGCCAGGAGGGTGAGGGAACAGCTCATCCCCTTCCTCCCTCACTTGTGCCGTGAGGGTGAGGGAACAAGCCTCCCCTCTCCTCCCTCACTTGTGCTGTGAGGGTGAGGAACAAAGCTCGCCTCCTCCTCCCTCACTTGTGCCGGGAGGGTGAGGAACAAGCTCAGCTCCTCCTCCCTCACTTGTGCTGTAGGGTGAGGAACAAGCTGCCCCTTCCTCCCTCACTTGTGCTGTGGAGGGTGAGGGAACACCGCCGCTCCCTCTCCCTCCTCACTTGTGCTGTGAGGGTGAGGGAACACCGCCGCCCCTCTCTCCCTCACTTGGCCAGAGGGTGAGGAACACCGCCCCCCTTCCTCTCACTGTGCTGGAGGGTGAGGGAACACCGTCCCTTCCTCCCTCACTTGTGCTGTGAGGGTGAGGAACACCGCCGCCCCTTCCTCCTCACTTGTGCTGTGAGGGTGAGGGAAATCGCCGCCCTTCCTCCCTCACTTGTGCTGTGAGGGTGAGGAACAAAGCCGCCTCCCTTCTCCCTCACTTGTGCTGTGAGGGTGAGAAGTCTCCCTTCCTCCCTCACTTGTGCTGTGAGGGTGAGGAACAAAGCTCGCCTCCCTTCCTCCTCACCTTGTGCTGTGAGGGTGAGGGAACACCGCCCCCTTCCTCCTCACTTGTGCTGTGAGGGTGAGGGAACACCGCCGCCCCCTTCCTCCCTCACTTGTGCTGTGAGGGTGAGGAACACGCCGCTCCCTTCCTCCTCACTTGTGCTGTGAGGGTGAGGAACAAAGCTCGCCCTTCCTCCCTCACTTGTGCTGTGAGGGTGAGGGAACAAAGCCGCCTCCCTTCCTCCCTCACTTGTGCTGTGAGGGTGAGGGAACACGCCCGCCTCCTTCCTCCCTCACTTGTGCTGTGAGGGTGAGGGACCAGCCGCCTCCCTTCCTCCCTCACTTGTGCTGTGAGGGTGAGGGAACACAGGCCGCTCCCTTCTCCCTCACTTGTGCTGTGAGGGTGAGGGAACACCGCCGCCTTCCTTCCTCCTCACTTGTGCTGTGAGGGTGAGGAACAAAGCTCCCCCTTCCTCCCTCACTTGTGCTGTGAGGGTGAGGGAACACCGTCGCTCCCTTCCTCCCTCACTTGTGCTGTGAGGGTGAGGGAACACCGCCGCCCCTTCCTCCCCACTTGTGCTGTGAGGGTGAGGAACACCGCCGCTCCCTTCCTCCCTCACTTGTGCTGTGAGGGTGAGGAACAAAGCTCGCCCCTTCCCTCCTCACTTGTGCTTGGAGGGTGAGGGAACAAAGCTCGCTCCCTCCTCCCCTCGGGAGGGTGAGGAACAAAGCGCCCTTCCTCCCTCACTTGTGCTGTGAGGGTGAGGGAACAAAGCTGCCTCCCTTCCTCCCTCACTTGTGCTGTGAGGGTGAGGAACAGCCGCCTCCCTTCCTCCCTCACTTTGCCAGAGGGTGAGGAACACCCCACTGGAGGTGAGGAACACGCCTCCTTCCTCCCTCACTTGTGCTGTGAGGGTGAGGGAACACGCCGCCCTTCCTCCTCACTTGTGCTGGGGTGAGCACCCTCCTCTGTAGTGAGGGAGGAACACGCTGCCTCCCTTCCTCCCTCACTTGTGCTGTGAGGGTGAGGAACAAGCCTCGCTCCCTTCCTCCCTCACTTGTGCTGTGAGGGTGAGGAACAAAGCTCGCCCTCTCCTCCCCACTTGTGCTGTGAGGGTGAGGAACAGCCGCCCCTTCCTCCCTCACTTGTGCGGGTGAGGAACAAGCTCGCTCCCTTCCTCCCCACTTGTGCTGTGAGGGTGAGGAACACCTCTGCCTCCCTTCCTCCCTCACTTGTGCTGGGAGGGTGAGGGAACAAAGCTCGGCCTCCTCTCCCTCACTTGTGCTGTGAGGGTGAGGAACAAAGCTCGCTCCTCCTCCCCTCACTCTATGCCTGAGGGTGAGGGAACAAAGCTCGCCTCCTCCCTCACTTGTGCTGTGAGGGTGAGGAACAAAGCCTCGCCCCTCCTCCTCACTTGTGCTGTGAGGGAGCCGGCCTCCCTTCCTCCCTCACTGTGCTGTGAGGGTGAGGACAAAGCTCCCCTCCTCCTCCCCCTCCTCCTCACTGTGCTGGAGAACAAGTCGCCTCCCTCACTTGTGCTGTGAGGGTGAGGGAACACGCCGCTCCCTTCCTCCTCACTTGTGCTTGAGGGTGAGGAACAAAGTCGCTTCCCTCCCCTCACTTGTGCTGTGAGGGTGAGGAACAAAGCTCGCCCTTCCTCCCTCACTTGTGCTGTGAGGGTGAGGGAACAAGCTCGCCCTCCCTTGTGCGGAGAACAGCCTCCCTTCCCTCACTTGTGCTGTGAGGGTGAGGAACAAGCCTCCCTTCCTCCCTCACTTGTGCCAGAGGGTGGGAACAAAGTCGCCCTTCCTCCCTCACTTGTGCTGTGAGGGTGAGGGAACACCGCCCTTCCTCCCTCACTTGTGCTGTGAGGGTGAGGGAACAAAGCTCCTTCCTCCTCACTTGTGCTGTGAGGGTGAGACAGCGCCTCCTTCCTCCCTCACTTGTGCTGTGAGGGTGAGGGAACAAAGCTCTCCCTTCCTCCCCACTTGTGAGGGTGAGGGAACACCCCCTCTCCCCACTTCGGAGGTGAGGGAACAAGCCTCCCTTCCTCCTCACTTGTGCTGGGGTGAGGAACAAAGCTCGCCTCCTTCCTCCTCACTTGTGCTAGCTCCTACATACACATAATAGATGTTTAATTCCTTTTATGTTTTTGACCTTATGATAATTACGGTATTGCTAAAAATGTATTTTTGCACATTCTGTATGAAGATTGTGTGTGCTGTAAAAAGTAAAACAAAGAAGAAAATTACATATACTGTACACTGTATAGACCCAAAATACGAGTTGAAAAATAACAATAATGCAGCTCGTACCTTGGCGGGAGGCTGGAATAGACACTGCACCCCCTCCATTCCTCCTTCCTCCCACGATTCCCAGGGACGTAAATATTTATTCCCTTATGTTTTTGACCTTATTATAATCATTTCATTTATTTTTTTTTGCACATTGTGTATGAAAGATTATGTGTGCATGTAGAGTAAAAAAACATTAGAAATTTATGTGTCTACCTCGCTCTGTGACAAGTCCCACACACATCAAATGTTTATTCCTTTATATTTTTTACCTTATGATAATTTTATTGTTATTATTAT